GAGAGAGAAAAGGGAGAGCAAAAGGAGTGAGAGAGTGAGAGTGAGAGAGAGAGAGAGAGAGAGAAGAGAGAGAGAGAGAGAGGGAGGGAGGGAGGGAGAGAGAAGGAACCCAGGAAACCAGACCTTCACAGGAGAAAAGTTTAAATTCCATTCTGATGAGTAAGTTTAAGTCACTCTTATGGACAGGATTAATATGACTATAGAAAAAGCACATTCCATGGCTCACAAATTGCCCAACCCAATTAATAAAATGCAGCAGAGAGCAATTGAGGGATTTAAAAATAAGTCAATTAACTTTCTGCACTACTGTTTTTCAATTTTTGTAAAAGAACACATGGCACCTAAATCTATGGGAATTTTAGGTACCAAAGGTAATGTAGTGGATGGAGCAAAAGACTCACAGTCAGGAACATCTCAACCTCAATTTCCTCATTTGTATCATGGGGATAATAATAGCATCTATTTCATAGGGTTATTGTGAGGATGAAATGAAGTAACATATGTAAAGTACTCTGTAATCCTTAAAGTATTATATAAATGCCAGTCATTATTATTATTCTCATCATCATGGTCTGAAACTATATTTTCAGAAATGCTTCATGAGTTCACATTTATTAAGAATTCAAAAGTTTTCAAAGAGAAGGTAAGAATGGGTTTTGTCATTTTAATTCAAGTTAGAAATGTGTATTTTAATTCAAATTTCATTTTGATAGAGTTTCTTTAACAATGTATCTCTTAGATTAATTCTTATTTCACAATTTAGTAGTCATTTAGAGGTCACCAGAGAGTTTATAAGAAAGTTAGAAATCAACCCCTGATGGCCAACTCTAGAGAGGCTAACATAAGAGAAACACTCGATTAAAGCAAGAACTTTAGACCTCTGGTGCATGGGAAAGGAGTTTCTGCCTGGGGAACATGACATGTTACAGCCTTGTGCCTCTCCATCCACCATCACCCCATAACACGACAGTACATTGGAAAAGAGTGGTCATTTAGCCAGGGAGAGCATCACATTTGTTAGATCTTAAAAAGAGGGCTCTTTCCTCTGGCACTCTCTATTCCTATCAATTCCAGTTGAAAATGGGGACTCTGAGTGTTTGTATATTGGACTTCCTTATTGCAATGAAGGTGGGTCCCCTTTCCCCCTCAGCAGCCATGGGGGTTGCTCTCACATGGGCACTGAAAGTACATATGTTGACCAAAATGAACCTAAAACCTCAAGTCTCTGATAGCCTCTTCAGCTATGTGTTTCTTTCCCTGACCACAGGTGACTGAATAACAATCATGAGAGGTAAATACTTTGTGAGTATCTATCTTGGGAATTCAAAAGTCTTTAGATTATTCTGCCGTAGATAGGCAACAGGAGAATTTTTTCCTGCAACTTCACTCTTCTCAGAGAAGATGACAATTCTCAGAAAGTTAATTCCATACATTCATTGGCTTGCCAGAAGATGTGGATTTTGAGGGACTTGCCTGATAATTGAGGAGCTAAGGGTGGGGAACTGGCAGCCTTGAGGTCACATTTGTCCTTCTAGGTCAAGTGTGGCCCTTTGACTGAATTGAAACTTCGCAGAACAAATCGGGGAGATTTGAGTTAAAAAAAAATACATTTCTAACCTGAATTACAATGACAAAATTTGTTCTTACCTTCTCCTTGAAAAGTTTTGAATTCTCAATAAATATAAACTCATGAAGCATTTCTGAAAATATAGTTTCAGACCTTCATGTCACACAATGATATCCCCTTGCTACATGTGGGGCTAATAGCTAGTATTTATATAACAACTGCTATGTGGCAGGCAACTGCTATTATATGTAATAATTTACAAACATTGTTTCATTTGATTCCCACAACAACCTTGGAGACAATTATTTTCTATTATTATTGTTATTATTGCCATTTTACAGTTGAGGAAACTGAAGTAAATAGAGTTAAGTGACCTACCTAAAGTCAAGCAGCTAGTAAATGTCTGAAATGGAATTTGAACTCAGGCCTTCCTGACTCCAGCCCCAGTGCTCTATATGCTGTAGCACGTAGATGCAACATATACAGTGTATGTGCCTGTAAAAAATTTTTTTCTGCCACAGGAGTTGGTAATGATAGATGATTTAGACATTAGAGTATCCAATCCTACCTACAACACTAAGAATTTGAAAAAAAAAAAAGCGGGGGGGGGGGGAGCCACATGTGTAAAAAATTAAAGGTATCATTTGGTCTCTACCCAGTCATAATATTTTAAAACCAAATTCTCTATCACAGAGATGGTCCAATTAAAAGTTCCTCTTAAATGATCAGAATTTGGTTTTTTTTCCCCCAAATATTTCTTTAAAACATACTAGAATTAATAGTAAAGGACTCTGACAACTCTGAAGCATTGTGGCTCTAGAGGGGTCCTTTTTAAAGTAAGCACTGTTAAAAAAAAATCAGATCCTAAAATCTATTCGCAGACATTTTCCCTCTGTTCTAAAAACTTGAGAAAAGGTCTGGAGATGAAAAAAATAGGAAAGGAGAACAGAGATGGAAGTAGGGAGGGAGGGAGAGGGGGAGAAGGAGGGAGAGAAAAGGGGAGGGGGAGAGAAAGGAGAGAGGGAGAGATATAGGGAGAGAGGGGTTTAGAGAGGGAACAGGAGGGAGAAAGAGAGACTGAATAAGAAGGAAGAGAGGGAGAAGAGAAAGAGATAAAAGGCATGCAACAAGCTAAAGAGAAGTTCAGAAACCAGGCATAGACAAAATTCTACCTTACACCGATGGCAGCAATGCTCTGTTTAAGAACAGAAAGTCATATTGGAAATGACACATCTTTAAATGGTTTCACCAATATTTGGCTAAGGTAGCCATTTATCCTATTTATTTGGGGGAAATATCGCTTGAGCTAATCAGCCCTGTCAGAGTTTAATAAATACATCTCAAACAGCCATGTTCAGTTCAACAAGGGCTGTGTTTCTCTTTGAAAGTTAAAGGTTGTTTGTTAGATATTATTTATGTGCTGTTAAACCTCATAGGGAAAATATTAAACCTATCTGGAATCCACTGAGCACACGGAACAAGCATTAAATTGTATCACTTGATATATTACTTCCTATGGTGAATAAATCTGCCAGCATCTGTTAAATATGTAAATGATTTATTACATTCTCTTTGGTTTGCTTAATAAGAAGACTGTAAATTTAACCAATGACTGGATATAAGAGCATCTCATATTCTGTTTTTCTAAAACTTTCATTTTACTCATTAAATATGTATGTCTTGACCAAACAAATTGAAATTCCACAATGGTATTGTCTGAGACAAGCTGCAGTTCTAGGTGCTGAGGGAGAACTAGGTGGCAGACTTTGAATTAAAGGGATAATTTTGGAGGATTTCTGCTTCTCATAGCAATCTCCAAACTGCAAGACGGCTTGTGATTAATCTTTGTCATGTTCTGGCTGGTTTCGTGGAATCCAGCAGAAAATAGGCTCTTTGTACCTCATAGGCTAAGTGTGCCTTCAACCTCCCTGCAGGAGAATTAGCCTTTTAAAAGTATGTTACTATTCCCCTCCAGAAGCAAGAATTCATGGGAGAAAGCCATGCTCTGTGGAAAGAGAGGTCCTATGCCATTCTTCGATCTGTGCATGTCTGTGGTTGATAAACATCTGCCTTGGGCAGCATGTTGGGAGCATAATCCCATCTCCCTCCATAGGAAATATTAAGAAGTTAACCCTGACATGGAGACTAAATGGTGGCATTCTAAATTTTACTCATTTCAAGGCTCTATGATTCTTCCAGCATGAGACCCTCCCCTCAACAACTACATGGAGGCTCCTTGATAGTAAACATGTATGGAAAATTTATTATCCTACGATCAACCTTGTAATGAGCCTGTCTAAAATTTACCAGGTTACTTTTCAGGTGACAGACAGAGATAGTCTATCATTGGGTCCAAACTCAAAGCCCTCATAGTTTCGTAGGCCCTATCAGAGGCAGATTTCTGTTGTTCATAGCTTTCAAGGACCCAGGATCTCTTCCACACTATGATGCACCACAAGAGGAGGATTTTAGTGAAAGCTGAGGGACAACAACAAAATCTCCTGAGAGATAAATTTCCCTTTTTCCAAATGTCTGCCACTGTTGCTCAACCCATCAGCTGATACCATGACAGGTGCTAAATCTGCATTTGGAAAACAGGATGAATTTTGGTTCCAGTGATTTATCTGCTTTCCTCATTAAAAACATGAAGCTTTCTTCTTTCTTAAACTCTTTACTGACCCTTCTCATTTAAAGTGTACCTGATAACTCCTAAGAGTTTTGCTATAAAGAATGTATACTCAAAAAAGGAAGGGGCTGGGGAGATCTTTTCCTAAGGAGTCACACACACAACAAGACCCAATTCCTTCTGAAGCAGTTTGTGGGAAAGGGAAATATGTGCCATTGAAACAACTGATTTGGAAACCAAATGAAAGGGAAAAAAAAACAGTTGAGAAATGAATACTACAAACCCTGTGAGAATGAAACAAAGCTATGCATTCCAACCTTTCTGGGCTCCTTTCTTTCTCTCCTTGGGAATTAGACTCTCAAGCTTAAAAAAAAATCTGTCATCTTAATTTGAGATACTGCAGCCCATTCTTTTTTTTTTTTAATTATTAAAGCATCTTTTTAAAAAAAATTTTGTAGTTGTCGTTTTAAAGACTTTTTTATTTTTTAACTACAGCTCATTCTTGCAAGATTTAGTATTTTGATTCAGTAGGCTGCATTTGTCCTTCAGCATAATTCTCCAGTTGCATGTAAACTGAGAATACTACTTCAGGCACTGCTGTATTTTCAGGTGTGTTTGCAGCCTCTAAGCCACATATGTCCAACTTGTTTCAGAGTATTGCATGGCCCATTGCCTTCAGGAGTCCTCCTAAACTTTAGCTGGTTATTGCAAAATGAGCAATTATTTTCTTCCTGCATCAGATAAATACCACTCTTGCAGATCCAAACGTGCATACTAATTTCATTTTTTGTTCTTTGCATGGACAGGAGGGTCACTGCTTCTTGAGCCTGGGAATGGGGATAGGCCAGAGGGGATGGCTGATTCCTAGGGTTATTTTATCTTCCCCTCTCTGATGCTAAACCATGGGACTTGGTATCCCCTTGAATCTGAAAGGGAGAAGGCTTTTTTTTTTAATTGCAGGGATCTTATCCTGACAACTCTGGCTAGGCTTAGTGTATAGACAGAATGAAACCTATATGTAGGTGTTGTGAGGAGGGAAGGGAGGATGGTAGGTATACACTAATGGCTTTCATCATTGCCTTGGGACCAAACTTGCTCTCTTTAAAGGTTTTTTTCTAAGATTTCTAAGTGTTTCTGTAGACTACAAAGTTGACACGAAACATGTCCCAGCAAAGATAGTATATAAGTGGTAAGTGAAATGCCCTGCACATGTAACAAGCAGGAAAACAATATTCAGAATAACTAAATGGAAAGAACAAAAATAAAAATTGGTCCTGAAGCAGAGATATCAGAATGCACCTTCATCCTTATTTGCATTGGCAGGGTGTGGAACACTACATAAATTCCTGGATTTTTCTGATTAATTGGTTAGTTTTGCTGAACTAATCCCTCCCACACTTTCTTTGTTATTTTTGTAATCAATCAATTAATCAGTAAACATTTATTGAGTGCCTACTCTGTGCTAAGCACTGGGCTTATAAGGCATGACTCTCTAGGTGGTAAAGAAGGACTGATTGGGAAATTAATATGACATTAAACAAGGAATAACAAGAACATTTGTTTAAAAAGAAACGTTCTGTATAAAGTTCAGAAAGCGCTGGGAAAGGCCTTTTATAGCAAGAAATGTTATAATATGTTATCATTAAAATTTCATTTTTATGAGAATAGAATAATAATTTTCCTTAAACTGATCTGAATAGCTTTTAAAGTTGAAAGATACTATACCTACTCAATGAATGTACTAATCTCATTTTAAGAAATTATTTCTTAAAACTACTTAAAAACTATTTCTTTAGGCCCGCTATGTAGCATCTGTCACTATAACATCAAGCTACTTTAGCAAAGAGAATACTACAATAGAAAGGAAAGGAGAAAGAGCCTCAGTCCCACACTAGAAGCAATTAAACAGAAGCTCCAGTCTTCTCTAGATACTATAATTAAGCAAAGACATTGTCTTTCTTATACTGCTATTTGCTGTTTCTGGTGGCGCTTCTCCACATCATTGGAATCATATCATCCTTCAAGATCACATCAGCTCTGAAACTCTTCTTCACCACCCCTTCCCCAGGGGCTTCTCCTTCCCTCTGATTGGAAAGAGTGGATAGTGGAGAGCTCCTCGTAGACCCTCCGTTCAAGGAGGTAGCCATTGCAGCATCACTCTAGACTTCATCATGCCCAACACCAGACCCTCCTCCTGCCTCCTTTTCAGCCTCTTTTTATGTTGTTTTTCCCCATTAGATGGTGAGTTCATGAGGGATGTATTTTCACTGTTTGGTCACTTCCTGGCAAATAGTAGGTGTTTAATAAATGTTTACTGACTGACTATGGCTAGAGAAAATCCTGAAACTGTGTTAGCTAGGTCCACTACAAATTTGTGTTGTGTCACCTGATATCAACTGGGCCTTCACTGCAGCATTTTACATTTTACATTTTAATTTGTTATCCCATTATGGCTATTGCAAACCTTTTCATGCCTTCCGTAGCTCCCTTTTCTCCAATCCTCTCAGTTGAGGATCTTCCCTCATACTTTACCAAAAAAATTCAAGGCATTAGCTGAGAGTTCTCTCTTCTTTCTTCCTCATCTAATATGTCTGCTTCCACTATCTTCTTCACTCCTGTCTCACACGGTTCTTTTTCTTGCCAAGTCAAACCCCACCTATCTGTATACATGATCCCAATTCCATCCTGTTTTCTCCAATAGAATGCCCCCTCTACCATCCTCCCCTCTCTCAGTAATATATAACCTTTTCTTATCTACTAGCTGCTTCGATACACAAATACTTCCATATCTCCTCCATTCTTTAAAAAACTCTAACTTTATCTGACAAAATCCACTATCTGTCACCCTATATCACTCCTTCTTTTCATGGTTTTTTTCATGGTTTTTCCTTTAGGAAACCATCTATGTTCAGTGAGTCTACTTCTATTGCTCATTCTCCTCTTTAGGTTTTTCTGATACTGCTCTCTCCTGGTTCTTCTCCTACTATCAAAAGATTTCTCCTCAGTCTCCTTTTCTTGATGCTCATCCATGTCACATCCGCTAACTGCGATTGTCCCTGAAGATTCTGTCCTGGGCCCTCTTCTCTTCCCTTCTTCTTCTGTATTATCTCTCTTGGTGTTCTCACGACCTTACATATGTTTAATTATCATCTCTATGCAGATAATTCCCAGATCTATATATCCAGCCTAATTTTTCCCTTGAGCTCCAGTCTTATATCACCAACTGTCCCTTGGACATCTAGAACTGGATATTCTGTAGACATTTCAAACCCAACATTTCCAAAATAAAATTCATTTTTTTCTACCAAACTCTCCCCTCATTCTAATATCCTTATTATTGTTGAGGGCACCACCATTCTCTCAGTCATCCATGCTTACAATCTCAGTGTCATCCTTGGATATGCATTTACATTCATTCCATATATCCTACAACCAAATCTTGTCATTTCTACTTTTACAGCATCTCTTGTACAAGTCCTCTTCTTACTACTTTTGCAGCTACCTCCCTGATTCAGGCCTTCATTACTTCATGCTTTGACAAGTGAAGTAGCCTTCTGATTGGTGTCCTTGCCTCAAGTGTCTTTCCCCATCCATCTATCCTCTACTCAGCTGCCAAAATGATCTTTCTAAATTTAGCGTAGGTCTGACCATGTCACCCTTCTACTTGATAAACTTCAGTGGCTTCCTATCACCTATAGGATCAAATATAAAAATGCTGTGTTTGACATTTGAAGCCCTTTACAACTGAATCTCTTCCTACCTTTCCCATCTTCTTCTAAATTATTCCCCTGCACATATTCTTATGTTCCAGCAACATTGGCCTTCTTACTGTTCCTTGCACATGATACCTCCTCTCTCCCCACTCAGTGCTTTTCACTGTTTTTTCCACATGTCTGGAATTCTGTCTCCCATTACTTCTCCTTTCCATTTCTTAGATTTCCTTCAAGATTCAGCTCAAATACCACCATCTGCAAGAAGTCTTTCCCAATCCCCTTCTGCTTCTACTCCACAAGTATGCACACACACACAAACACACACACACTTTTACACATATATACATACACATATACATATACATACATATATACACCCAGATATGTGTGTATATATCATGCATATATGTGTATATTTCTATTTATATAATTTTATATGTCTATTTTAAAAATATTTTTGAGCTGGTCAAATGTAGATTCAATTTTCTTGGGAGGTAGTGGGTTTGCTATCACTAGAGGTCCTTAAATGTAGTCTAGAAATATTGTTGCCCAGAAGACCTGTCATGTAGGTACCCTTTTCCCTTTTATTTTTTGTATCCCAAATAGAGTAAGAGCTCCTTGGGAGAAGGGACTGTCTTGCTTTTTCTTTTGGTATACTCAGCACTTAGATGGCACTTGGTATATACTAACTGCTTTTTCATTCACCCATTCATTCATTAATTCTTTGTTTTTTTCTAGTCATGTGTAAGTAGAATTAGATCCCTTCTGTGGTCTCTTCTGACTCTAAGATCCTATGAGTCTAGTTAATAGTGCAATATATTCAGATCTTAGGAAAAAGATATTGAGTTATAATTGAAAAGCAATATAGTAAAATACAAATCAATAGTTATACAGAAATGTATAAATAATTAAGATCATTCCTGAAAATAAGCATATCTCGTGGTATGAAGCAAACAAGCTGCCACAGAGCTGATTGTAGAACACTCTACTATTTCCTAAAATGATATTGGTCAGAAGCCAGTGTTTCTAGGAAAAGGTAGCACAACAGCTAGTTTTTATGGTTTCTAGGGGGAAGATGAGAGTTGAATTAAGTCTGAACCATTAAAAGGAACCTAAATAGTAATATTTATTATGCAATATTAATCTAAATGTTTTATCTTAGTAATTTTATTATTATTTTCAGCAATAATTACACTTTTATGACCCTTTAAATTTTACAGAGATCTTTACATATATTATTTCATTTGAGTCTCACAACAACCCTGTGACATATGAACTATATTATTATTACCACCATTTAATGGATGAGGATATAAGAACTCAGTGATGTTAACTGCTTTGTCCATGGTCACATAACTAGTTTTAGAGATTGGATTTGAACCCCAGTTTTCAGGACTCCCAATTAAACATGAATCATTACTGATTAAAAAATAAAAGGATCATCTTAGCTTAAAATTTTTAACAGGTCCAACAAATCTTTGTATGATATACTTTTTTTTTTCTACAACAACTTCCAGAGAGGCATGCCACATTAATTTTCAGATTTCTTTTTCTTTGCTTCATGAGTTCATGAGTCCACCTCATCATCCTGAGGTTGGCTCTGAGGCTTTCATCAAATTACTATATGACATCTACTTTGCTCTTCTCTCTGTCTCTGTATCTTTCATTCTCTCTGTCTCATCTCCCTCCCTCACCCATCCCTAGGTTTTCCCTGGAATCATGCTTCCACAGCAACAGAAACATATTGAATTGTTACTTGTGTAGATGGTTTGAACTTCACTCAAACCTAATCCAAATGAACTGTATCTAGAACTGAACCAAGATAACAACAAATTCTATTCTGAATGTCAATAGGCATTTCCCTCTATCTTTGGTATCTTTTTTTTTCTTACATGAGCAAGTGTGAAAACTTTTGAAAAGTCATTGACCCATATCCCATGTTAGTTCTGAAATAATTTCCTATTCCTTATGGCTATTGATTTTTTCAAATATTGATATATTTATTCCTTCTAATGTAACCATAATTTTACTTCTTGACATATACATTAATAATACAAATCCAATTAGTATAAATAAAAAAAATTCTGCTGCAGTGGCAACGTGTATTTGAATTTGTACTATTTGAAGTAACAATTGTGTAAAATACAGTAATTTGTTCCAGCCCAATGTAAATATGCAATTCAAATTTGAATATTGTGATTAGTTCAGGGAATTCTTTATTTGCCCTGTTTGGGATCTAAATATAACATGTTCTGAACAACTAAAGCATTAGGTAAAGAGAACTGCATCACAAGGGATCTCAACGTCATTCTTCTGATCTTAGACATTAAAAGCATCCAACTGGAAGGCAAATATTCTTTCTTTTATTCCAAGACACATACAAGAATTTTATAGGTCTCAAATATTTTTGAGGCATGTTAAAATATACATATGTCACATGTTCAGTGAATTAATGAGAAACTCCTTCATTAAGCACCAACTATGGGTCAGTCACAGCACCGGGTGCTAGGAATACAAGAGTGAGGCAGTACCTGCTTTCATAAAGCTTAGATTCTAAAAGGGGGAAACAACACATGTAGAGGAATGGTGGCCAAGGAAGGGAGATGAGTCATAGAGATAGTAAGGGGAGCCACAGACAATTCCAGAGTCACCCTCTTTTTAGAAGCAATGGTAGTACTACTATGCTTACTCTTCCCAAGGGAAGGCAGAAAGTAGAGGTGGGAAAAAGGTATACTACCTACACAGAGAAAGTCACATTGTGTGATGTCTAGGGCAAACAGTTGGATGGGATATAAAGCATGGTCTGGGGCCTGCTAGGTAGAGTGGTTTAGGTGAGTCCTGATTTACTCATCAGGACAGCTCAATGCATTGTGAGTCAGAAAGATCTGAGTTCAAATCCAGCCTAACACCTACTTCCCAGGTTGCTATAAGGATAAAATTAGATGCCATTTGTAAAGTGCTTTACAGACCTTAAAGAACTATGTAAATGCTAGCTATTATTATTGACGTAGCTAGGTAGTGTAGGTAGAGTTTCACTGGAGTTGGAGTCAGGAGAGCCTGAGTTCAAACATGCTTGCCATGCAACTGCGCAAGTCACTTAGCCTCTGTCTGCCTCAGTTTCCCCACCTGTAAAATGAGGATAATAATAACATCTACCTCCCAGGATTCTTATGAGGATTGAACAAGATAATATTTATAAAACACAAACCTTAAAGCTATATAAATGCTAGCCATTCATTATTACTATTATTATTCTATCTTCTACATGAGAAATGCTACAAGTGATTTATGAATGTGTATTATTATTATTATTATTATTGCTATTACTATTATTGTTATCCCTATTCTCGTCATCCTGGGATTTGTGACTGAGGCTATAACATAGGGAAGCATAAATTTCTCTATGACTCAAATGTTAAGTCCTTGACTTAACCACATATCAAAGGGTTTGAATACTACACTGGGAGATTTGAGATCTGGTCCCAGCTCTTCTACTACTTAGTTGATCATTTTTGATTATCACAATCTCTGTGGGCTCAGTTTTTACCATCATCTATAAAACGAGGACAGCAACTAGGTGGCTCAGTGGGTATAGTACTGCTCCTAGAGTCAGAAAGACTCATCTTCCCAGGTTCAAATCTGACCTCGGGCACTTCCTAGCTGTGTGACCTTGGGCAAGTCACTTAATCCTGTTTGCCTCAGTGTCCTCACCTGTAAAATGGGCCAGAGAAAGAAATGATGAACCATTCCAATATCTTTGCCAAGAAAACCACCACCACAACAAAAAGAACTACATTCTATCTATCTCTTCCTTACAGAAGGCAGTATTTTCTTGAACAAGAATAAAACTCAAAAATCCATATAGGTAGACAAAATCTCAGTAGTTGCGAGTTGTGAGTTCACTTGGTGGAGGGATATGAGACCCCACAGACACAAAGCCACCTCAGCTTTTCAGTAATTACTTGTATTCTTTCTTGCCTTTGATTTAACTTTTTATATCCTCTGAAGGAATATTCCTCAGGATATCTTAAAACTCTTGCCTATAGCAGGAGATGTCTATTTTACTACTGATTATCTAGAAACTAGTTATCAATACTGGATTTTATTTCTCTCATTCCATTGAAAACTGGCTATCATCATCCCTCTATGGGGAAGTTGAACATAATTCTCTCCCCCCTACCCCAATATTAGTAGATGATAAACTTGCTAAGTCTGCAAGAATAGTCATTTTTCATCACCCTTCTGGTTAAACACTTAACTGAAAACAAAATTAGTCAAGCAAGACAGAAAACATTTTGAAAACAGAATCACATAGAAATGCTCAAGTTACAGCTATGAATTGGGAGGTCTATGTACACGTGAATAGCTGCTCTCTCTTAAAAATGAGTAACATGTGTGAGGAAAAAAAAGGTGTTTATTTCACAGAAGACTCTGTTAGATCAACATCTCTGCAGCTCATTGAAGATGAAAAAGGAGTCACTGAATAGAGGAGAATCAAGAATGAAGGCAGGCACTGAGATTGGGTTGAAATTTTATAAAGGCAACAATGATTTCAAATCACAAAACAAGAAAACAGAATCAAACAAGAAAATACTATTATCTTACTGTTTGCATTAATAATGATAACTCAGAATCCAAATATTGTAAGATGGAAGATCATTTTCTGAAATTAAATCAAACAATCATTAAAGTACTCCAGACCTAAGTCCTTGAGGATTCCTTGAACAGTTATCATCTTCAACATCTTAAGAAGTTTGTCATGATCGCTAACGTAGTATAAAAGTGCATTGAAATTCTTCAAGTTTAGTTATCTGCTCTTTTGTCTAAGCAAAGTGATGCTCTCAAAAGCCTACATATACATTTGCTCCTAGAACTGATTGTGAATTGCTTATGCAGGCTCATTTAAGTGTTATCCAGTGCCAATGTGCCAACAAATGGAGAATTTGTGCCCTCTGGTGGATGATAGAGGTGATTCAGATTTAGAATTTGATGGACAGCAGCTCAGAAATAAATCATTACTAAGCCATGTTAAAATTCATAGAATTTAGTTGTATACTGTTTCCCATAAATAAATCATCACTTTAGAGATGAAATGTACTTATTTACCAATAGAAGATAACATGGCCTCCACTAGAGAATTGATTATATCTTTAAAACAATCTCCTTAAAAAACAGTAATAAAGTGCTGCTTATTTTTTAAACATGTATTTTGTTTTAAGCATTAAAAACATTTTCTCACAGAATCTACATGTAAACAATTAGACATAATGATCACTTGGTCACTTCTAGCTAATATAGTTAACCAAGCCAACTTCTGAAGAAACTAGATACTAAAACATTCTAGCCCAAGATACTGGATTCTCCTTAGAAAATGCTTGACTCTCCACCTTGATTATTCTCTATTCAGTGATTCCTTTTTTCATTTTCGGCAAGTTAAAAATTGTCTCCAAAGCCAAAAAAAGGGGCAATTCTGCTACAGAAGTATAGTTTGTATGTGTGTGTGTGTGTGTGTGTGTGTGTGTGTGTGTGTATCTCTATCTATATATGTTTTACTAGTTTTCAGTCATGTCTGACTCTTCCTGACCCCATTTGGGGCTTTCTTGGCAGAGATACTGGAGCGGTTTGCCATTTCTTTCTACAGCTCATTTTACAGATGAGTAAACTGAGACAGACAGGATTAAGTGACTTGCTGAGAGTCACACAGCTAGTGTCTGAAGCCAGATTCGAACTTAGGTCCTCCTGATTCTAGGGTCATACACACACACACACACACACACAGAGAAAGAGATATATGTATGTATGCATGTATGTATATATGCACACACATGCACATATATACACAGAGAGAGAGAGAGAGAGAGAGAGAGAGAGAGAGAGAGAGAGAGAGACAGCGACAGAGAAACAGAGATAGACAGAAAGAGAGAGTGTGGGCAAGAACATAACTTCTTAAAACTTTTAGAGGCCCATATGCACACTTAGCTGGGCTGTTACACATACATGTCTGTAAAAAGAGGGACATTATCAATTGACCCTATCCAAATGCAGAGAATTATTTAGTTCAATTTAACTGTGGCGACACATTTTGAAAGAGGACTTATAAAGTAAATGTCAATTTACTTCTTCCTGGAGCTTAAACAGAAAGCAGAATGAGCCCCCTTACAAAATACTGTTTTGAAAACTTTGCTTTGATATTTGAAAGACAGGGAAAGGCAGCTGAACTATAATTTCATTTTACCAGGGTTTTCTTTATCTGGCTTAAATTAAGGTTAACAATTTTAATGACCTTGAATAACTCCCAAATGGTTCTTCAGACTTGACCAGGACACAGTTATCTGTTCCCAGATGGGTACATCCATCCATGAGGAGGCATGTAGGAGATAGAGTGGATATAGCATTGTACTTGAAGCCAGGAAGAAAAGACAATTAACCAGATCTATAACTCTGGACAAGTGACTTTATCTCTCTCAGCCTCAGTTTCCTGAGCTGTAAAATGGGGATAAA